CCTCCCCAGCCCCTGCCGCGGCCCACCTGGGTCTTATAGATAGTGTAGCCCTCCTTCTCGTGCTGCAGGGCTGACCGGAACTCGGCTTTGCTCTCATAGACCCGGGCCACAAGGTGGTGGCTGCAAGGAGGTGTGCAGGGCACAGAGGGACAGGCGTGGGCGGGGGCACGATGGGGGTGCGCAGACCACTCTAGATTCAGCTCTGGAATCCACCCGAGGGGAACAAACAAGCCCACGACTCGGAGAAGAGACGAAGTTGACAGAAAATTCCTCAGGAGTCAGATGGAAGCCAGAATGCTGCATCCCATGTCCACCCTCTATCCCGAGTTGCCTACCGGGACCTCGTCACTGTGGCCCTGGGCGCCCCCTGCCCCTAAGCCAACACGGCCTCACCTGAGGGCCACCTTGAGGGATTTGGGCCCGTGGTACTTGGTGCTGACAGCCAGCGCGTTCTCCAGGAAGCGCAGTGATAGGTCATACTCCATCACTCCGTGCAGCACCAGCCCGATGTTGTTCTGGGGACAGCAGGAGGGCCCGGGTCAGTCCTGCTGCCCCAGGACGGAGGCTCGCCCCACCGCAGCCCCCCGCCGGCCCCCCAGCACTCACATCCAGCAGTGCCGTCTCGGGGTGGTCCTCCCCGAACACGAGCAGGGTGAGGTAGCGGGCGCGGTACAGCAGGCTCAGGGCCGTGGACAGCTGGCTGCTGGCGAAGCAGTACAGGGCCAGGTGCATCTGTGGGGGCAGCTGTGTCAGGCCCGGCGGCCACGCTCCCCCCGCGGGCCCCGCCCCCACCGGCTGCTCACATATTCCTGGATGGTGTTGGGGTGTTCGATGCCCATCACTCGCTCGCTCATCAGCACTGCCTTCTGTTGGTTACTCAGGGCCTGGGAGAGGTGGGGAATCGTCACCCCGGGGTGGTGAGCTCCCCACATTGAGTCTGCCTGGCCCCCAAGCAGCCCCCAAGCGACTCAGCCTCCTCAGCAGAGAAGTGTTCAAAACTCAGTTCTGAGCATGGAAGGCCATGCCCCACTCCGAGGCCTTTTTAAAGAGCTTGTCTTGAGCCTTTTGCCCCTAACAAAATCTGTGCAAACATCTATACAAATCTAACACTAGGCTAAAAATAAAGCAATAATAATTAAAAAAAAAAGCACAAACAAAAAAAAACTCTACGGTTGAGGGGTGGGGGCCTACAGTGCACCTGCCCCGTGAAGCAGCCTCTTGAAGTCCCAGGCCAACAAGGCAGGCGGACCCCACCAGGCCAAGGATTGCTCAGAGGTGCTCCGAGCAGCTTCACACCACTTCACAAGGCCCCAGGTCCTGTGACTCTGAGAACCCACCCTCCCCACTGTCCCCGTGAAGGGAGGTCCTGTCAGCACTCTGTCCACAAGCATGGCGGCTCTCCGGACAACATCACTCCTGAACCGCAGAGCAGGGGAAGAAAGCCCAGGCAGCCTCCCTGGTCTCCGCTGTTCCTCCCAGGGGGCCCCCAGGGAGAGCAGCACCCTCGTCCCCACAGACGGGGCACACTTCCCCAGGCCTGGACCTCCGCTGCCTGCGGCATGGGGTGAGAACACAGCCCCAGCTCCCTCGCTAGCCATCCCCCAGTGCCAGGCCAGGCGCCAAGGCCTCCGCTGACAGCCCAGAGGGTGCTCCAGGCCCACCTCGGCGTAGTCGCCCATAATGTAGTGGAGACGAGCAAGGAGGCGCAAGCAGGCGCAGATCTCCACGTGCATGGCTCCGTACACGTTGTTAAACAGGTTCAGGGCCTCATTGATGAGCTCACAGCCCTCCTTCAGGAAGCCTGCAGGGCACCCCCAAGGGTGGCAAGGTCAGGGCTGGGCCAGGGGACCCCCCTCCCCCCAGCCACACCTGGTCACGCACCCTGCTGTACTTTGGCCTGCCCACTCTGGAAGAAGTGGAAGGCGTCCGATGCCTTTGGGTTGACGTGCTTGACCACGGGGAAGATATTGAGCACATCCTCCTCAGTGAATGCGGGTTTGTGGCGGCTGTCGAAGCTGTACTCCTTCAGCAGGATCTGGGGGACACAGCCCAACACCCACAGGTGGCCTCAACCCCAGGCTCACGTGGACGGCACCTCCCAGCCTACCACCCCACGTCGAGAGAAAGCCACGCCCCCCACCCTGATGGCCCTGCAGGAGCCTACAGGGGCGAGGGCATGGGACGGACCCCCCGAGTCACCCACCTGGATACCGGTTTTCAGGGAGATTTCCCGCAGCAGCGTGATCTTCTGCAGGCCATACGTCTCCACAGCCTGGTCCACGGTCTCGCTGGGGGAGAGGCGGCCATGTGAGCCTGGGCAGCCCAGCCCGTCTCGGCCCCTTGTCCACAGCTGCCTCCCCACCTGAGTACCAAGTACTCACCAGCCAGGACCCAGACCAACAGCCCCCATCCCAACCCCAAGAGCAAGCAGCCCTCCACTGCTCCCTTCCTCCTCTCCTAGCCCACACCCTGCAACCACAGGCCATGGCCCCCAGCGGCCCTCGTGCTGAGGGCCCAGCACCCCCGTGGTGTTGCTCACGCACCACTCAAGGCTGAAGTCGAAGTAGTTCTTGGCCTCCTGGCAGATGTTCTTCCAGAGCTCCTGGGGGGTCATGACAGCCCAGGCTGTGTTATCTGCCGCCCCTAGGGGCCGGTTTCTCCTCCTCCTGTTCCTCTTCTTGGAGATTAGCTCATCGGCGGGCAGGTGGGCCACGGGGTTGGGGTAGGAGCTCAGGAAGCAGTTCAGAAAGTGGCTAATGGCAGCTGAGAGGCCCGAGAGCTCCACTCCCTGCAGGGTTTTGGACTCATGTCGTTAAGGGCCCTTAGGCCCTAGCCCAGGGCTCTTCCCCTGCCTCCCCCTGCCCCGCCCCGCCGTACCTGTAAGTATGTCTTGAAGATGTGCTTGGCAGAGCGGGTGATGAGCTCTCCGATGCCAATTTTCTGCAAGGGTTCAGAGAAGGGAGTCTGGGTCCGGCCCCAGGCCTCCACTCAGCCCCCCTGCCGCACAGCCCGCCACCCTGAGCACCACTCACATAGATGTGGTCCAGCTGCTCTCGGGCCGGGCTCCGGAGGACCAGGTCCAGCACCTTGCCCAGGTAGCGCATGTTGATGCCCCGCTGACGCATCACCTCAGCCAGCGTGGCGCCGTCCATGGGCAGCACCGCATGGTCGATGCAGTCCTTCACCTGTGGGCTGCAGCAAGTCAGGCGCCCCCAGCCTGGACCCTCTGCCTCCTCCCACCCTGCGTCTTCCCGGCGGGGAGCTCATGCTATCCTGAGGTCCTGAGGGAAGGAGGGCACTGAGACCCGAGCTCCCAGTTGGGAAGAGGGAAGAAGGCAAAGCAGCAGCCAGGACACAGGAGAAACGTGTCCCCCAGCCTTTTACACAAGCAACAGGAAATGGGAGAGCAGTCACCCTGTGCCTGCCAGGCCCACCCAGTAGAGCAGCAGGGGTGAGGGCTCCCCTCTGAGCATGCGGGACAGAGCAGAGGTGACCACTTAGGGGCCACAGCTTTGCCAAGCCTGGAAGGTTTGTGTCAAGCCTCAGAGAGATCAGGCAGGGGGCCCGGGCGGCTGGCACGAACACTTGGCTCCAAGACCTGAGACAAGCATGCTACCCGAGCACGGGGCTACCTTACTAGGGAGCAAGCTCCCCATCATCCAAGGAGCCTACGTACAAAGCTTGTGAGGCCGAGAAGATAGGACCCTCCCCACCTTTTTTCCAGATGCCCCCCCGTCACCCTCCCTGAAGCTGTCCTGTCACACGGGGGCTCAGAGGCCCAGACCCCTAGCTGCCAGCCCCCGGGGAAGGCACAACAGAGCAGACTCTGTGCCTGATGCCTCCCTCGGCCTCTCTGGGTCAGCAGCCCTATCCATATGATGGTGGCAAGCACTCCAGCCCGCCGCCCTCACAGATCAGCAGGTCTAAGGTTCCACAAGCTTCCAGAACTGGATGGATGAGGCACCAGGGCCTTTAACAGCATGCCCTGTGCAGCGCCCCCCCCACCCTGGCACCTCCCTCACCAAGCCAGGGATCTGGCAGGAGAGCAGGAAGGCAGCGGCGTCTTTCAGCAGCTGCTTCTGGTCCCGAACTTCCTCCTGGCAGGACTCTGGGAAGCGAACCCCTGTGGGAAGAACAGCAGAAGCCTGAGCGAGGCAGAAGAGAGGCGAGTCGGGGAGACAGATACCAGCACCCACCAGCACCAAGGGCCCCAAGATGGCCTGCGTGGTCCTCCACCCCCCCTGACGCAGGGCTTGCCTGGTGAGAAGATGTCAGGGTTGAAGCGAACGTCAAAGGCCGTGCTGCTGATGGAGCCAACTGCCTTGCACGCGTTGCGGATCACCTCCCGGCTCCGAGGGTCTGCTGTGGAGACGCGGCCGGCTGGGAGGCAGCTCCCCTCCACCAGCACCACCAGGCGCTACCCTGAACCTCCACTAGCTCCGCACAGACGCACCTGCGGGCCTCCCTCTGGCTGCCTCAAACACTCGCACCCACCTCCGGCCCCGGCCCGCACCAGCTGCCGGGACAGAAGTGGGGCCCGGCCCTCCCCGCATCCACAGCAGCCCCACCTGTCCCGTCGTCTGAGGCGATGGTCTCCGCCAGCTCCTTCACCTTGGCCAGGCCGCGGGCACTGCCACCTTCCTCCTCACTTCCTGCCTCGGGTCCCGGAGGATCTTCAGGCTTAGATTCCGAGGACGGGGAGTCACCGTTTTCCAGCGAGGTGGGGTTCTCCATCCTGCTGGCCTTCTGCTGCATGAGCTGCAGGGCAGCGAGCTTCATGAAGAGGAGGTACCTAGAACGCGGCAGATCAGGCAGAGCACGAGATGGGAAAGGCTCTCCAGAAGCCTCACTGGCTGGCTGCGGGGACCCGGGCCAGGCCCCCGACTCTTGGCCTGTGCCACGCCAGCAACTCCAACAGGCAGCAGCAGGTCACCACCCAAACCGAGCCCTTCCCAACTGGAGGGCGACAGCTGGAGTGTGAGCGGGGGAGAGGCCAGGGGCTCCGTGCAGGCCAGCTCACAAGGGAGACGGGGCCTCACCGGCATTTTGAGAAGGAGACTGGTTTGCGGTGTGGGACACCTGATGTGGCTGACTCCTGAGCACTTAACGCCAGCAGGGGTGACACCCCCCAGCACTGGGACATTTAAAAACACTCTAGCAGGGGTGTCTGGGTGGCTCAGTCGGTTGGGCGTCTGCCTTTGGCTCGGGTCATGACCCCAGGGTCCTGGGATCGAGTCCCGTATTGGGCTCCTTGCTCAGCGGGGAGCCTGCTTCTCCCTCTCCCTGCCGCCCCTCCCCCCCGATTGTGCTCTCGATCACTCTCTCTCAAACGAATATAAAATCTTAAAAAGCAACAACAAAAAACCACTGTTAGCAGATTTCCATAGGCCCCCTTAGAGGAAGAGCACCCCCTCTGAGAGCCCCGGTCTAGCTGGTTTGCGGGTTTTCCACCAACAGAAAGCCCCTGGACGTCCAAGTTGCGGAGCCTGACGTCACAGCAGGGAGGCTGCGGGTGTAATGACTGTGGCCAAAGCGGGCTGCTCGTCACTTTCCCGAGCCTGTCCCGTCAAGGAGCAGGCCCCAGGACCGCCTGCTGGCTGGGCACCCACCCGGGCCTCACCTGTGCTCCACGAAGGCATCCACCAGCTCCTGGCGCAGGCAGCAGAGCTTGTGCCGGTGGGCGCGGGGGAAGCCAGCGCGGCTGCACTCCTCGGGCAGCCCCTCGCCGGGCACGGGCAGGAAATTGAGGTCGGGCGGGAAGGTGCGCAGCAGGTCGAGGATGTAGTGGCGCCCGTCGTTGCCAATGATGCCCTTGCACTCCACGGAGGAGCAGAGCTCCACCTCCTCGTCGCGGTCGTTGAGCACCCGGTGCCTCAGGATCTTGAGAGGCCGGCTGGTACGTTCCAGAAGCTCCAGGTAGCGAGGGTGCGACATCACCGTCTTGCCGAAGTCAATGGAGCCGTAAATGACACTCTGTTCCTGGTCCCGCTCCAGGATGCCCGGGATGATGGACTGCGCTGTGACGCGGTAGCCCCGGTAATCCACCACCACCGTGCCCAGCGTGTACAGCCCCTCCACGTCAACGGCGTTGTACGTGCGCACACCGTTCAGGTCATTGGTGGGTGCCACGTAGGCCGCCACGTCCCCACCGAAGTCCTTGTAGTGATCGCGAACATCAAAGCCCAAGCTAAAGAAGATGTTGTTCCAGATGAACATCTGCATCTTGGTCTCCTCACTGGGGTTGATGGCCATCACGTTGCCATCGATGACCGCCATGGCACCCCGCGTGGCCGCAGCTGTGAAGTCACTGTGCACCTGTGGGGCGGTCGAGACCAGGAGGGTGAGAAAGGGCCCATCCCCGGGAGCCGCAGGTTTCGGCCCGCCTGGCCAAGCTCACCCAGACAGTGTGGCCAAGTGGATGGCCCTAGGGGCCACGGGGGTCTAACGTCGGCTTCCTCACACTTAGGAAAAGGCAAGAAACTCATTTTTTGAAAAAACGTTAACTTATGCTCAGAGAGACGCAGAGCTCAGGGATTAACAAGGAGGGAAAGGACTAGAGCAGGTCTTGGATCCACCCATTATGTGCCAGGTGAACTTGGCCAGGTCCCCTCTCAGACCTGTTTTCCCCGCCAATAAAACAGTGACAACCAAAGTATCGACCTTTACGAGGTGTCCAAAAGGTTCCAGATGGTGCTGTAAGACACCTGACAGAGCCACTGGCAAAATCAGTACTCAAAACAGTGCCATCTTAGGTCTACCGTTATCATCTCTAGGCAGGAAGATCATAGGAGATTAAAAACGGCTCTTCTGAAAGCATTACTTTTTCTTCCTCTCTCTAGGTAATATCACAGTGTGCCCAGGCGAGGTCCCAGTGGCAGACAGCAGTGGGCGGGAAGCCGGGAGAAACCTGTCACGCGGCCCACAATAGAGGAGGTCCCCCTACCCTCCACCCAGCCCTTGGACTCCAAGTCTCAGAGAGGTCACAAAACGGAGCTGGGATAGTCTGCCCGGAGGCGAGAAGCCAGCCAATGCCCTGCAAGGTACCCTGACCGGCCCTCTTGGCAGGTGGCAAGCAGGCCTGAGGCTGCCAGTCAGGCAGGAGGAGCCGTAGGCACCTTGAATATAGCTCTTTCTCGAAGCAGCCGCTCAGGCAGGTTCTTGCGGGGCAGTTCCCTTGTCGTCTGCAGCTCCTCGTTCCAGTCCCGGGTCTGCAAAGGGACCAGGGAGGGAGATGCCGGATCAGCCCAGGCCCCAAGACCTGCTCTGGGTAGCCCCTCCCTCCGCCTGCCTGTGGACAGCCTCAAACGCTCCCAAGTGAACCAGACAGTCAAGCAGATGAAGTTTCCAGGGAGGTGCACAGAACCCAGCCTGGCACCCACCCAGGGCGGGGGAGAGAGGGGTCCAGGGAGGGCGAGGCCAGGCTGCAGGCACCTGTCCAGGAATGTGTTCCTCATAGCCCAGCCTGGAGGTGTAGGCGTCCTCCGCACGCACACAGTCCATGGCATGCTCTGCCTGGGGGGCTGTCCAGCTGTACACCTGGAACGGGGTGGCAATTCTCTCGAAGGGGTGGCGCTGGACCCTGTGGCAGCAACATGGGGAGATGGGGAAGACGGCCAAGCTGAGAGCCCCGGCCTAGCCCCCTTCTGACGCCCCCACCAGCTCTCGTGCCTCCCAGCCCGGAGACCCTGCCCCCGCGGAATCTAACAGAAGCAAATGGGCACCTCTTCTAGGACTGCTGTCTTGGGGTCTAACAGCTCCCTAAGGGGAGGCTCCGGGGTGCTAGGGGCTGAGGGCATAGGGCTTCTGAGGGAAGATGCGGGGTGGGAGACAAGGGGCAGAGACGGGGCAAAGGCGTTACCTTTTCTTCTGCAGCACAGCAAAGTTTTTTTTGAAGGTGGGGCTGATCTGGTTGAGCAGCTCCACCAGGGAATGGCTGAGGAAGCGCGGACTGGCAGGCTTGGGGTTGAAGTGATATGCTGTGGACCTGTGGGGAGAGGGTGGTCACTGCACAGGGCACCCCAAGTAGCCGCCCAAAGACCTGGACGGGCTCACACAGGGACTTACTGGTTCAGGTAAAAGCCCCGCGTGGATGCCGTGATGCTGACTTGCCGGTCCTCGGCTGTGATCACAAACAGGTACATGAGGTCCCCATGCATCTTGCGGTTCCCAGGGGGCGGATTCCAGCCACTCATGGTGAGCACTTTCAGGCACTGCAGGGGCTGCAAGAATGGCCAAGCGTGAGCAGGGGCCAGGCCTCTGGGTGTGGTGCACCGCCCCCCCACCCCCACCCCGCCAGGGGCCTGCTCCCTGTCTCTGTTCCGGGCATACTACCTTCCAGTCACGGTTCTGGGGCTGCAGGGGACACAGTGGCCGCTCCCGACTCCCTGGAAGGATGTACTCAGGTGGCGTGCAGTCAATGGGGTCCATCTCCAAGCCTTTCTTCCGCTTCCCGCTGTCTGAGGGACCCGGGGCTGGTGGTCAGCACAGGGCCACCCAGGGGCAAATTGGCCCCAGCATGGAGGCCTCCAGCCCTGCCCCCTCCTGGTGGCAAGGCCTGGCCCCTAGCCCCTTCACCAGCCCCTGGCCAATTTGTCCCTGGACCCTCTGCCCAACCCCCAGCCCCAATGCCTCCTGCACCTCCCAGGTCGCCATCAGTAAAGACGCTCAGGAAGGACAAGGAGTTGCAGTCAACCCCGTTGAAGGCATCGGATGGGTCAAGGCTCTTGAGCAGGTCCCGGACATGGCGCACGTGGATGCGGGCCTCACGGACTGTGTACGGTTCTGTCGGGAGGGCGAGAGGCAGCGTGTGAGCAGGGCCCGCCCCCCGCTACACCAACCTGCCCAGCACAGAGAAGTCGGCCAGGGGGCTACCACGGTAGTCTTGATTTTCACATTTTAGGCCTCCACTTACAGAGGCCATTATGAGCACATAAGCTGGATTCAACACACACACCCCCTTCCGTTAGGCAGGGATCCTTGTTTGCAAAGAATCTTCTGCCAAAGGGCACAGAAAATGCTTCCTGAAGCACACAGGCCTCGGGGAGCCCACAAAAGCCCCCTGCTCTCATTCACAGGTGTCCCACGTGGGCAGGTCCGCGGAGGAGCTGCGGGGTCCCTACGCCGCAGCCTCAGTCCTGCTCACCCAGGGCAGCCCTTGCTCGGGGGTGGCCTGAGAACTTCCCCGTAACTACAACATTACCCCCCAATATATGCTTCGTGAATTTTAATGGAGGCTCTTTTGAGGGAGAAGAGAGACTTCACCATCAAGTAGGTTTGGGCATGCTTGCATTACACTTTCCACATTTGCTTTTAACAAGCTCACATTGCCCGGAACCTCTGAGCTATCTCTCTTCCCTGGGGACCCAAGGTCATGGGAGCTTTTATTTTACAAGCAAACCAGCCTTGCCACGCCAGCCGACTGCTGCCCACTGGGCCTGACTGCTCTACTTGAGGGCTGTGAAACTTAATTTTATGAGATTTAACTTGTCTCTCTTTTTTTTATTCTAAGCTGTAACCGTTTCATTTTTTTTTTTAAGATTTTATTTATTTTGAGAGCGAGAACAAGCAGAGGGAGGGGCAGAGGGAGAAGCAGACTTCCCACCAAGCAGAGAGCCCGATAGGGGGCTGGATCCCAGGATCCTGAGATCATGACCTGAGCTGAAGGCACACGCTTAATGACTGAGCTACCCAGGTGCCCCGAGATTTAACTTTTCTTTCTACAGAATTTGACTGGGCTGATCTCAAGCCCTTGGTACTGTTTTTCAAGATTGTATTTATTTGAGAGAGAGAGAGAGAGTGCACATACGCACGCACACCCAGGTGCCCTTTTTTTGTTTTTCTTTGAAAGTGAGCACGCAAGTGCGAGTTAAGGGGAGGGAAGGAAGGGCAGAGGGAGAGGGAGAGGGAGAGAGAATCTCAAGCAGGCTCCATGCCTGGCGTGGAGCCTGATGCAGGGCTCAACTCACGACCCTGAAATCACGACCTGAGCTGAAATCAAGAGTCAGATGCTTAACTGACTGAGACACCCAGGTGCCCCAGTTGGTACTGTTTTTTTAAAAAACAAAACGAAACAAAACAAAAAAACATGACTTTGATATTTAACCTATAATGTTGAAGAGTACACGTGTGAAGGCCTGAGGAGCAGATCTGGGCTCCAATCCTGCCTTCACAAGTTCAGTACTGTTCCGAGCCTCCACACACCCATCTGTGACACTGAGATACCAGCCAGGGTGGGTGGAGTGCCACCCGGCCCCACCTCTGTGTGCCCTCCCTTGGCAGGCTGCCCAACTTCTGGACAAACCTTCCACCACACGTAGCACCGAGCCCTCCTGCAACCCCTCGACACTGCGCAGCTCTGAGAAATGGTCCAACATGTTGCCATCCAGGTGCAGCGAGAAGCACGTGCGGTGACATGTGTCTTCGCGGTCCATCAGTACCTGGTGGATCTCCTGTACCATCTCCTGCGGGGACACCTACCAAGGAAAAGGCCCCAAACACCGTGATGAGGACATACTGCCTTCCCTACAGTACAAGGCTAGGACGAGCGACGGCCAGGCCCTAATGGGTTCATGCTCCGGTCCCCAGGACCCCTCTCCTCCATCTCACCTGTAAGGAAAAGGGCTCAATCCCAGGTGCCAGGATCTTCACAGAAAAGCCTGTGTCCTGAATGACAATGACTTCCTGTCCAGTCGTCTCCTCTCCCGGCTCGGCCTCATCCAGACCATTTTCCCGGGACAGCTCGGCAGCCCTTTCTTCCTTCTTTAGGCCCTCTGGACAGTCCCCATTCAGTAGCATGACTGACGGCAGCTCTGCAGCTAACAAGGAAGCAGCTGAGGTAAGTGGGGCCACCTGCCTCACCCACCTGGGTGGACATGTGCGCCACAGAATGGCGTCCGCTGCACTTCCTCCCGAGACTCAGCCCTACCCCAGACCCACAGTCCCACTCACACTGGGCACACCACTTCCCTCAACTCTGGCCACCTGGAGCCCACTGCCTCCTCCCTTCCACATCCTGGGCCCTCCCTTCCATCTGCTCCTCAGTCTTCCAGTCTGGCTTCCATCTGGGCACACCACCCAAATCCCTCTCCCCAGAGTCACCCCAAGGCCCAACCCCAACTGTCTTCTCTGGCCTCAAGGTATGTGACTTCTCAGCAGCACCCATCACTGCTCACTGTCTCCTCCCCTTCCCTGTAGTCACTGATCCCTTGTTCCTGGCTCTCCAGCTCCACCCCCCCTTCCAGCAGCCCAGGCTGTGCGTGTCCCAAGCCCCAGCCTCTCCTGATCTCCCAGGACTTCAAACGCCCTCCCGCCATGCAGCTAACCTGGCCAATCTAGGCCTTGCTCAAGCTTTTCAACATGTAGCCATCCCTTAGGCATCACCAAAGTCTCATCTTGTTGACAGGGAATTCACTTTCCTCCACAAGCTGGCTTCTGCTCTGGAAATGCCCCCCCAACCCCTAGTCACCCAGCCTAATCTCCAAACTGGTCATGGAACCCAGCCTCTGCAGCCATGGCCCCGGATAGGCCATCTTCCCTATTTCAAGAGCACCACTTAGAACCCACTGCTCTCAAGATCCAAGCTTCTTAGGCCAACACTCTCAGGCACCAGCCTGAAGCACATCTCAGCTCCTACCAGCTCTCCCTGTCAATGTCTCAGGAACACAAACTACTAGGAAGCCTGAGAACAGGCTCCCCATCTTCCCTTCCACCTCTGTGCTTTCGTGCAGTTCATGCTGCCCTCAATATACCACTGCACCAGGCAAACATACTCGTGCGTCAAGGCCCAGGTGAGATAAGCCCCCCCTCTATATTTCTTTCTCTCTTTAGAGCAGAAGGGAGGGGGAGAGGGAGAATCTCAAGCAGATTTCCATGCTCAGCACTCAGAGCCCCACGCAGGGCTGGAATCTCACAACCCTGAGATCATGACCAGAGCCAAAAGCAAGACTCAGACGCTTAACCGACTGAGCCACCCAGGTACCCCTAGACCCCCTTCTCTAAAGCCTGCCCAAATGACCCCTGACAACAGAATCACTGCATCCTCATTGCCCCCCAGAGACATGGTGACCACCTCCCAGAGCACTGTTTTGTCATTCTGGGGGGCTGTTCACACTAGCAACTGTATCTTCTTCCTTCTATCTTTCTTGCACTCAACAGAAATGCGCTGAATTAATGAATTAATTGCTGCACATGTGGAGTTAAGTCCAGTATTTGCGAACAGCACCCAATTCACATGCTGTGGGGAAAGAGAAATAAGAAGGTGACAAAACCTTCCCTTTCTACCCAGGCACTAAGGGGAATAAAGGAGAGTCCCCTCCCTGCCCTGGGGAGCAAGGACCTCCTCACCATCACGCCAGCAAAACACAGGCCTGCCTGGATATCCACTTGGCCCACGGGCCTTCCCGCCCATGGTCAGGCCCCTTGCTTGTCTGAGAGGTCCAGACAGGTCAGCTCACCCAGCTCTGCTCCACGCCCCACCTCCTCTTCCCTACTGTTAGGAGTGAGATGCATTTTCCCCAGAACTTCGTGGGCCCTACCCAGACACACCAGAAATGTGGAGCCAGAGGCCTCAGGAAAGGAGATAAGCCCAGGACAGAAGGGCACGCCAGGGGTGGTGTGCAGAGAAGCCACTCCCCCTTCCCTGTGTCCCCTCAGCTTAGTGATAAACAGGACCGCCAAGAGCTCTGATACAGTTCCCTCCACCTCCCCCACCAAATAAGGATGTATGAGGCCCAGAGAAGTTCAGAGCCTTGTCCAAGGTCAAGAGTGGACCCCAGATTCCCCATCAAGAGCCCACACCACCAGGCCATCAAACTGCCCTCAATCTTGGCCACTATGGATCTCCAAGGACTGCTATCACTCTTGTCCCAGCACACCTCTCTAAACCTGAGGTGGAATTCCTGAGAACCACAAGGACACACGAGGACCTCTCTCTAGTGAGCCCGCAGCCCCAGCACTGCGACCCCAAACTCCTGAAGTGAGCAGCCACCCCAAAGGGAGAACTCGGCTGACTCTATGACGAAGCAGGCAGGAGGGTGGGGAGAAGGGTGGTGCTTGGTCAGCTTCCAAAAGGCAGCAAGAGGAATGGCAGATATGAGGAGGCGCTTCCCCTAACTGGGTCCTTGAAAAAGGCTTTGCTGTTGGAAGGCCCCTGGGATGAGGGCCCCCCCCAATATGGTGCAGCAGCGCTGAGGTCTAAGATCCCAAAAATGAGAAGTCAGAAACGCGGACCCAGATGGGCAGACTGCTCCCTGAGTCCGGGCCTGGAAGGATGGGAGGGAGGGCAGGGAAGGATGGGAAGGAGGGCAGGGAAGGAGGGCAGGGGAGACAAGGCAGGGTGGCCGCAGCTCCCTCTCGTCTTCCCTAGGCCAGGAAGCCTGCCCAGAAGGTACCTCAGCACCAGGTTATGTCCCAGATGGTACCCAACCCCTTATCAGATTTCAAAGGAATGTGGCTGGTTCCCAGGGGCCTCCATTCCCCCAGAATGGTGGCTCTGCCCTCCTCCTTCCTCTAAGGAACACTGAAGGTCTCCCTACCACTGGATTAAAGCCAAGTGATCTCCCCAGAAGAGGGTGGCCACCTGGCTCCCTGCCCCCACAGCCCACCTGGTGCAGTTGGAGGCCGCCCTCTCCTGGACTCTGGAGTCTCGGGACCACCATGGCAACGAGGCAGCCAGCTCTCCGGCTCAGGCTCGGCACTGCCTGAGTCCCCTGTTCCGGCCTCTGCCTCTACCCTCGCCCCCATGCAGCTGGTCAGCTCAGGGCTGGAGCTCTGGCTGGCTTCGGGTTTCAGTGGGGCCAGGCCTGCTGGGGCAGCCCTGGGAAGGGCACACTCCCCCTGCCTCTCATCCTGCTCAAGGTCGGCCGGAAGGACGGCTGTGGGCCAGGAGGCCCCAGTGGCTCCAGGACCCCAGGGGGAGCTGCTACCAGCACGCAGGCCCACCTCCCTGTACCCACCAAAAGGGGGGTCACTGCTGGCAAAGCCATTAGGGGGGCAGGAGAACCCAGCATTTGGGGTACCTGGGCCCCTCAGGACCGAGGGCCCTGGGGGCTGGCTGGCAGGGGCAGGGCCCAGTAAGGGGGTCCTCTCCTCAGCCCTAACCCCAGTGGGGGTGGGCAGGATGGCTTCAGCCAGCTGCCAGCAACAGCTGCTGCAGACCCGGGCCCAAGCCATGCGGTGGCCACCCGTCCACCCCTCGCAGACACCGAGCACCCGGCCTCCTGGGTCAAGTGGCTGGCTGAGGCCTCTGGCTCATGCTGCCCCCTGCAGGTGACCTGACAGCTCTCCTCTTCCTGACAGTCCCTGGTTCTGGTGGGAGGGGGGAGGGGCCCGCCGTCTCCCAGAGGACAACTGCACCCGCGGCCCCAGGCCTCCAGCTCCACCACGAAGCTGGCAGGCTCTATCTTCCCTTCCCAGCAGCCCCTGCGCTGCCAGGACCAAACCAAGTCTCTCCCCCTGGGGAGAACAGAGCTGGCAGCAAGAGGCCGAAGGCCGTTCAGTTGTGGAGAAGGAACATGCCCAGCCTCGCCAGGGCGCCTTCCCAGGGCCCCTGACCGGTTGCCAGGGCCCAGGCAGCACTGCTCCGGCATCCATGCAAACCAGGGTGGGGGCGGGGAGCCCGGCACACTTCAGGACCCCTCCCCTCCAGTCCTGTCCCAGGCGGCCCTGACGGCCAGGCACGCGGCAGGCCCTTGGCCTCTCCTCAGCCCCCACCAAGGCTTCCAGTCCACACACACTGACCAGATGGTAAGAAGGGCCGGACCCAGGCTGAGCTCCTCTTATCCTGCCCTCTTCTCAAACACACGCTAACCCGCTGGAAAAGGGGGTGGGCCACAGCAGCCTGGCAGTGACCTGTGAGTAGCAGCATCTACCGTCCATCTCCATTCTGGTTCCCAGAAAGCCTGTGCTCGCTCTAGGCCCATCCCACAGCAAGTCCCTCCATCAGCTCAACTGGCCCATCTCACTTGAGGAAACAGAGGCCCCAGAGGCCAGTAAGCCAGCTGCCCCAGGACCCGGAGGAGACAGGCGGCCAAGCCACGTCAAGAAAAAACCAGGGGGGTGCCTGGGTGGCTCAGTCGTTGAGCGTCTGCCTTCGGCTCAGGTCATGATCCCGGGGTCCTGGGATCGAGCCCCGCATCGGGATCCTTGCTCCGCAGGAAGCCTGCTTCTCCCTCTCCCACTCCCCCTGCTTGTGTTCCTTCTCTCGCTGTGTCTGTCAAATAAATAAATAAA